TATTAAATTACCTTGAAATAGCTAGAGTGGTTCATGCATTTCTAACTGAGCCCTGTCTATAAAGTCCTCATTTACAGACAGGAGCAAAATGGGTTCCATTGGGACTAAAAGTATTTCTGTTTGATGACATGAAAATCTCATTATTTCTCAAATAGAACAAAGTCATTTTGCTCTCTCTTTAACATAAAAATCGGTACAATAGACTATTGATTTCAATGACCTTTTTAACAAATATCTGTTGTTAGTAAATAGATATAAATTTGCTTTGATACAGTTTGCGAGTTTAAAAAACTAGAGTGAAGAAAACGTGAGAATTGAAATGCATTTACATGAAGTATAAGACAGTTCATAGAAGAATTTTGTTACATATCCCTCATTTACGATGATCTTCAATAGTGAAAGATAAATGGATGAACATTAGCAGACTGCTGTGCCTGGGAAAAATGTGTACTTTTTTCTTTCTTCCATTCCTTGCCTACTCACCTGCCTGATCTCCCCCCTCTTTCCTCTTTCTTTCCTTCTTTTGATCCTTTCACTTCTCTCACTCCAGCTAATAATATAAGGTGTCATTATCAACAACTGATCAGAAAACGTGAAGATCTTTTGTTAAATAGATTATATACTGTAGTGTTACTTCTTTTTACTGCTTAAGCAATACGGTAAGCAAAAAGAGTTAGGGGTCCCCCAAAAAAGAAAGACAAGATACAGCTTTCATTGACACCTGAAAAGTCATTTTAGACCCCCAGCTACTTTCTGTGGTCTTTCCCCTACTTTCTCAAGCACACTTCTTGTGCAACTTCCTAGGAGGTGTGAGAACTACAAAGAAATGCAAAAACCTCGGTAGTTAAGGATTCTAAGGAAACAAAGGGAATGCAAAAGCTCACAGTCTCTACAGGGCCTGGAAATAGCTAACCCCATCAGAGACAAGAAATCAATGGTAAAACTCTCCCAGTGTTGTTTCAAACATAAGCAAGACCCTGCATTCCTTACCTGAGGTAGGGAGCCCAAGGCCCCATCCAGTTTATACTGGCTCTGGAAGCAAGCCCATGGCCCCCTCCCCTTGTGTCAGTTACCTCTGCTTCATTATAATGTTGAGTTAAAATCTCCACCCAAGGAGGAGCAGAAGCTTCATCAACATATGGTAGGATATATGTTTGGGACATTTTCTAAGTATACCTACCTGCTGCAACCTTATGTCCACTTTACATGTGACAACAAGACCCCTTCCTGAATATTCATCCTAACTCTAAATAAAAGGAACCCACTCATTCCCACTCAGGGAGTCGTGGCTTTGGAAATCATTCCCATGATCTCCTTATTTGTGGTAAATAAAGTTTCCTTTGTGTGACAACTGCACTTGGTGTAATCGTTACCTGTAACTCTCCAAGGAGCTAACTCACATTAGTTCCATTACAATAGTAATTAAATTAATCTTCTTTCTAGGTTCTTATTGCTAATCTTTAGTCATCTCCTCTGTTCCATGCTCATTATACTCTGGCTAATATGGGAACAAAAGATAATAAAGAATTTCACAGAGCATTTTAAGAGGTATTTATGTTTATTATAGTCACTATGGACCAATGTGAAGGGATTGAAAAGGAATATGCTTTGAGTCAGAGAGTTAGGGTTCAAATCCTGCATTACTTTAGGTTTTATTTTTATTTATTTTTATTTTTGGGGAGGGGGTGGGGGGGCAGAGGGAGAGAATCTCAAGCAGACTCCCTGCTGACTGTGGAGCTCCACCCTGGGCTTGATCTCATGACCCCGAGATCATGACCTGAGCCTACATCAAGAGTCTGACACTTAACCAACTGAACCACCCAGACACCCGTCCCTGACGTTTTAATGCTTAATCTTACAATAGAGCTAATAACATGATCTCACTATATTGATGTAGTGAACAGTTGATATTGTATGTGAGGAAGAGAAAAGCAGTCCCTGAGAGCCAGAGATAGCTGGGTGCTGATGCTGACGCCTTAGTGATATTTGGAGTCAGTCTGGCCTCATAGCTAAGCTGGGCTATTTCACAGAACAGAACACCACCAGACAAGGCCACTCTGTGACCATGAGGGAGCAAGATAAAAATTGAGACTACTCTGCAATCATATCTGAACACCGATAAAACAAACATGTGTCCATACTATAAAATTAGCCAAATAATCCCCTGCCCTGGCCTTTTCCTAATATGGGTAACTACTGCAATTTTATCAGTCATGACTTTAATTCATATGCGAGTATATAAAACATATATACATACATATATATATATATATATTTGAAAGTATGGAGAGGTTTCTCTTATTTAGCTTCTAATTCTGAAAATTTCATTGTCTTTTTAAACAAAATCTTTCATTTGATCAGAGTACCACGGAAATACCCTCTAATATATTTTTTCTAATTTATCTATTTATTTATTTATATATATATATTTTAAAGATTTTATTTATTTATTCATGAGAGACAGAGAGAGAGAGAGAGGCAGAGGGAGAAGCAGGCTCCCAAGGAGCAGGGAGCCCGATGTGGGACTCAATCCCAGGACCCTGAGATCATGACCTGAGCCGAAGGCAGACGCTTAACTATCTGAGCTATCCAGGCACCCTATTTGTCCTAATTTAAAAAATCCAATAGCATGGGGTGCCTGGGTGGCTCAGTCAGTTAAGCGTCTGCCTTTGGCTCAGGTCATGATCCCAGGGTCCTGGGATTGAGCCCTGTGTGGGGCTCACCTGCTCAGCCTTCTCCCTCTCTCTCTGCCTGCCTCTCTGCCTACTGTGCTCTCTCTCTCTCTCTCTGTCAAATAAATAAATAAAATCTTAAAAAAAATCCAAAGAAAAATTTTAATCAAATGCTTACCATGGCTTCTATAATTGCTTAAAGCTTCACACTATCTAATTTTTTAGAAGTATTTTCATACATGTGATTCTTGTTTGCTTCAGTTACTTGACTATTCTTGGTCCAATACAGTTCATATAAATTTTAAAAACAGTTTGTTAATTTCCACAAAAGCTCACCTAGGATTTTGACTAGGATATCATTTATTTCAAAGATCAATTTTTAAAATTTTAATTCCAGTATACTTAACATACAGTGTTATATTAGTTTTGGGTGTACAACATAGTAACTCAGCAATTCTATACATTACTCAGTGCTCATCATGATAAGTGTACCCTTAATCCACATCACCTATTTCACCCATCCCCCCACCCACCTCCCCTCTGATAACCATCAGTTTGTTCTCTATAATTGAGTCTGTTTTTCATTTGTCTCTTTTTTCTTTGTTTGTTTTGTTCCCAAAGATCAATTTTGATGCTTTCTATTCATAGACATAGTACATACCCCTAGTTATTTAAGTTTTCTTGCTTTCAATATTTTATGTTTTCTCTGTAGTGGTCTTGTGTGTGTGTGTGTGTGTGTATTTTAAGATTTATTTATTTAGGGGTTAGGGGCAGAGGGAGAGCATCTCAAGCAGACTCCCATCGAGTGCAGAGGGCAACACAAGGCTCAATCTCACGACCCCAAGATCATGACGTGAGCCAAAATCAAGAGTTGGAAGCCCAACAAAATGAGACACCTAGAACCTCTGGTCTTGTGTATTTTTAATAAAATTCATTTCTAAGTCTGATATTTCTTGATACTATTTAAGTGATAACACTTAAACTTTTATTTTCCCTTTATTTCTTATAAATAAAAATAAAATTAGCTTTATAATGAAATTACATAAGCAGTCTTTTTCAAATTCACTTATTTATTCTAAAAGTTTACTTCCAGATTCCTTTGGATTTTAATATATATTCACATTGTCTGTGAATAAAAGTAGTTTAATTTCTTGCATTCTTATTACTCCTTTTATTTAATTTTGTGGATTTACTGTACTTCTAGGACAGTTGGATAAAATACTGAATGTAAATCATCATACCAGGAATCCTTGTCATGGACCCTGTCTCAAAAACAATGTGTTCAAGATTTTACCATTAACCATATTTGCTATAGACATTTTTGTAGAAGAATTTATCTGATTAAGGAAGTTTTTTTACTTGATCACTAATTTCTGAAACTTTTTGTCAGGAATGGACATTAAAATTGATTAAATAATTTTAAACATATGATTTTTAATTTTTTTTTCTAAGTAATCATCCCTTTATTTAGTTTTGATAAGGACATCCAGCACAGAACACTGTTAGAAATTAACCATTAGGAACTACGTAAAAGAGATGTAAGGCAAGTACAATATAAAGACGAAATAGATAAACACAGGTTTTATTTTTCTACAGAATTTACTGCAGGTGGGGCGCCTGGGTGGCTCAGTCAGTTAGGCGACTGCCATCGGCTCAGGTCATGATCCTGGAGTCCCTGGATCGAGTCCCGCGTCCGGCTCCCTGCTCGGCAGGGAGTCTGCTTCTCCCTCTGACCCTCCCCCCTCTCATGTGCTCTCTCTCGTTCTCTCTCTCTCAAATAAATAAATAAAATCTTTAAAAAAAAAAGAATTTACTGCAGGTTATCATGTAATGAAGACAAAAGAAGATCCCTCTTAATGTGCCAAATTTGTTTAGTAATTTAAATAAAAACATAGGACTCCCATTGCACAGATAATTCTAAATCTATTTTGAAAATCAAATCATCAGGAAGTATCTATCAGGAGACTATGTAACTGCCTATCATATTATACCAAAAATAAGGCTGCTCTCTTCACAGAATAAATGGATAATGAAGGGGGGGAAATCAGAGGGGGAGACGAACCACGAGAGACCATGGACTCTGAGAAACAAACTGAGGGTTCTAGAGCGGAGGGGGGTAAGGGGACGGGTCAGCCCGGTGATGGACATTAAAGAGGGCATGCATTGAATGGAGCATTGGGTGTTACACACAAACAATGAACCATGGAACACCACATCAAAAACCAATGATGTAATGTCTGGTGATTAACACAGCATAACAAAATAAAATAAAAAAAAAAAGTGGCACTAAATGTACAATTAAAAAAAGAATATATGGATAATGAGTAATCAACCATCAACACAGTGGATGTTCTAATATTGGGGAAATAGTGGAAAACTATTTGTTAAAAAACAAATTTCTCTGGACATTGTTTATCTTGCCCTTGCAAGAGATTTGTAGATCCAGATGAGATTAGCTTAGAAAAGGGGTCTTATTTAGTCCAGAAAATCTTCAGAGTCCAATACTGTTCTGAGTTAATCAGATACTAAAGAACCTTTACAAGGAAAAGTAGGCTTGGAAATCACACAGACTTATTTTGAATTAGCTTGTTTTAGCCAAAGGTATGGAATTAATGATCAAGTACTGGGAGTTTCTGTAACACACCCAATGCCAAATGACTACTGACATTCTATTTCCTACTGTGATGACTCCTTGATTAGAGGTAGGTGGGAGGCATAAAGAATATTGTGAGCTATAAAATAAATTGTACTCCAATGCCCACATCTCTAAAGATAAATCTTGTTTTTTAATATAAGAAACTCACTGAATCAAACGAATGCTGATTAGAGCAAAGGTAGTGTAAGTAAAACTGGGACAGGAAACCTCTAATTGCATAGGAAATACATGAAAGAATTAATCATTCTAAGAGAAGAATCATTTTCCCACTAGCCCCACTGTTATGGATGATATTTTCGTGAGCCTGGGCCACCTTCTCCAGTGAATACCGAGAACCTGTTACAGGTCTCAACCAACCAATTTCCATTCCATCTTGAAGGGCGGCTGCAAATTGCCTAAATTCCTCCTTAGTTGATGAATAGAAAGCAACTCCAGTTATACTAGATTCCTTTGCCATGGTGTCCTGTGGGTTTATTTCAATAGGACCTCTGCTGCCAACAATTATTACTCGTCCTCCATATGACAGAAGATTCAAATCATTACTAAGATTTACATTAGCTAACATTTCAATGATCACATCAATTTCTTTTTCACCAACAGATTTCTTAATTTTATCAATATAATTAAGTTCTCTGTGACTGAACACTTCGTGGGCTCCATTTTGCCAAACAATGTTTTGTCCTTCCTCAGTACTGGCTGTGCCCAAAACCTTTAAGCCATAAGCTCTGGCAATTTGGCATGCTGCTAGTCCAACTCCTCTGCTAGCCCCATGAACCAGCACACTTTCTCCTGCTTTCACACGGGCACTGTGGAGCAGAGCTCGATAAGCAGTAAAATATGGAATACCGATGGCAGCTCCTTGCTGAAAGTCCAGTTTTTCTGGCAGTGTGTAAACACTGTCATCTGCTGCGAGAGCATACTCGGCGGAGCCCCCAGAGATGGTGCTGGTAGTGAAAACTCTGTCACCTTTCTTGAAAGTGGATACATTATCTCCAATGGCTTCTATTATGCCAACCACATCTGAACCAGGAGTATAGGGTAAGAGTGGTTTTCTGCTGTAAGTACCAGAACGAATATATGTTTCCACTGGGTTTACACCACACGCGTGGACTTTGATCACAACCTGATGGTCTTTTGGAATTGGTACTGCAATATCCGACTGGAGTTTCAGCACTTCTGGGCCACCAAATTCAAAAACTCGAATCGCTCTCATCAACTTCTGTCCAGTCGCCATGGTGATCCGGTTCTAGAGTGGGGAAGCAAAACCTGCGAAGGCTCACCCAGATTCCTTTTTTTTTTTTTTTTTTTTTTTTAGTGTTATAAACAAAACTGATTTTCTAATGTTAAAGCTCCTTTTATTTCCTGGAATTCATTCAACTTTGTTCTGATATACTATACTTTCTAAAACATACATATTAGACTAATTTTATTATTTATTAGGCATTTTCCAATTACTGTTATGAATGAGACGAGCTCATTAATTTCCTTGTCATACTTTTTTATCAAGCTAATGCTGGACACATAAAATAAACTGGGGACTGCTATTTTTTTTTTTTTTTGCCTTATCCAAAAGTGTAAATAAAGTTAGTATTATTTTTATTTTTCCTTAAATATCTGGGCCTAAATCTTCTTTTGATTAGATTGTTTAAATTTTCTATTTTTTTTATCAATTTAAGTAAGAGTTTATTGTTGCTTCAGTATTTGTCCACTTTAATTTATTTAATGATATTCAAATGTATTAATTGAAAGATGTTCCCTTTATTATGTTTTTAATTTCTGTTGGCTATGTTATAATGCCTCCTCTTTTATTCATGATATTCTTTATTCACTCTTTCATTTTCAGGTTTTCATTTGTTTTAATATTAGCAAATACCCAACTCCTGTGATCTCAATTTTTAATTTTCATTTTTATTAATTTATGCTCATGTCTTTATTATTTCTTCCTTCTTCTCTGGGTTTAATGTGCTCTTTTCTTTTAATTTCTTGAGATAGATGGTTTGATCATTGATAATTCTCATTTTCTTCTTTTTTGATATAAGTACCTCAAGCTAAAGATTTCTAAGAATTGACTTCACTTCATCCCATAAACTATGATATTTATTATTTTTATTACCTTCTAGTTTCATAATGTTTTTACTTCCATTGTGATTTACTGCTATATAATGTATATTTAATTTTATCAATATAAATTGATTTATAATGTATATTATATAGCAGTAAAAGCATTTTTTTAAAATGTTTAAACATGTAGGGGATTGTAATATAATCTTAGGTATTGATTTCTACTTTACTTGTACCATGATTAGAGAGCATGGGATGATTCAGGTAGGAGACTGGTGGAGTTATTGTATAAAATGCTACCAAGGGGTCAATAAGGTAAGAGATCTGTGATTATTAAAGTTAGTAATATGGAGTGTAATGTTGAGCTTAACACAGCTATCCCAAGGCAATGATTGGAAAGAATTGCTATTATTTGCAACATTCTAACCTTATTAAAAGTCATATAATTATTCATATTTTGGCCAAAAATATATTTTATATATCATGTCAAATTTAAGCTTTAAAAACATATCAGTTCAAAGATTCTCTTCATTTTTCTGATCACTGCTTGGAGAAAACAAAAATTTAGAAAAATGTTTTAATTTTATCATTTTGATTGAGATTTCCCAGATTGGGTAATAAGAGTATCTAGCACTTATTTTATTCAAATTGCACAAAGATAATAAGCTATAGTCAACTTTCTGAATTAAAGATCTGTTTGGGGGTGCATGGGTGGCTCAATAAGTTAAGCATCTGACTCTTGATTTTGGCTCAGGTCATGATATTGGGGTTGTGAGATCAAGCCCCATGTCAGGCTCTAGGTTCAGCATAGATTCTCTCCCTTGGTCCCTCCCCCTCTCCGCTAGCACATGCATGCACGCTATCTGTCTAGAAAAATTAAAAAAAAAAAAAAAAAAAAAGGTCTGTTTTGTTTATTTTATTTGCCATTTAAAAAATATTCAATTGGAACATTTAAAAAGATCTAGAAATGACCATTTCATAATATTAATTAATTAAAGTTTCCAATCAATGTCCCCATAGTAATCATTTTTCTATGCAACATCCATAATTTAACAAATTCACTGAAAATTGAACTCTTTTTTTTCCAAGTTTTTATTTAAATTCCAATTAGTTAACATACAGTGTAATATTAGTTTCAGGTGTAGAATTTAGTGATTCATCACTTACATACAACACCCAGTGCTCATCACAACAAGTGCCCTTCTTAATACCCATCACCTATTTAACCCATCTCCCACTGACCTCCCCTCCAGTAACCCTCAGTTTGTTTTCTATAGTTAAGAGTCTGTTTCTATGGTTTGCTCCTCCCTTTTTTCTTCCCCTATGTTCATCTGAACTCCTATTCTTTTTTTTTTAATTTTACTTTATTATGTTATGTTAATCACCATACATTATATCATTAGTTTTTGATGCAATGTTCCCTGATTCATTGTTTGTGTATAACACCCAGTGCTGCATTCAATACGTGCCCTCTTTAATACCCATCACCAGGCTAACCTATCCCTCCACCCCCTCCCCTCTAGAACCCTTAGTTTGTTTCTCAGAGTCCATAGTCTCTCATGGTTCGTCTCCACCTCTGATTTCTCCCCCTTCAGCACATAGAATTAATGAACTCTTATTCTTAAGTAGCTCAGTGTCTCACCCAAATCATCATAATGCACAAAATTAAACAAGTAGTTTCTTCCATGATGAATATGATTTTCTATGACCCAGTGCATGACATGTAACACTTAATATTAATATCAATATTATCAATATCAATGTCCTACTTTTCACTAGGTATTTAATATTCTAATAAATCTATTTAAATAAAATTTAATTTTAAGTTAATCAGCCTTATAGGAAAAGTAAAGTTAATATTTATATTTCACTCAGAGAAAAGTAAAATGAATTGGTACGTGTGGTATTCACTCAAGAAAAGTTATGGCAATGATTAGAGATTTCACTTGATAGAAATCGTCACATTTAGAAAATTCAACATAAACATTTTCACTTTCAATGCAGGAAGAGATTACAACTGAATGAACTTGAAAGACTTCGGTGATATGTTCTATTCCTAGAAATAGTGTTTCTATTTACTTTGTATTTCTCTTTGTATTAGTTTAACTAATATATTCAAAGTAATATGTCAAAAGTATGATATTAAAATGATTTTTTTTTTTATTTTGAGGTACGCTCCCATCAGATCATAATTCTTCACTGGAATGAATTCAATTTTTTATTTAAAAATATTAAAGTGTTTCTATTTTAAAAGTTCCCACTTGCAAATACATATAGAGTAACACTATTATATTTTCTTTTTTTTAAAGATATCATTTATTTATTCGACAGAGAGAGACACAGCCAGAGAGAGAACACAAGCAGGGGGAGTGGGAGAGGGAGAAGCGGGCTTCCTGCCGAGCAGGGAGCCTGATGCGGGGCTCAATCCCAGGACCCTGGGATCATGACCTGAGCCGAAGGCAGACACTTAACGACTGAGCCACCCAGGAGCCCTATTATATTTTCTTTAATTTATTGATCATATGCTTTTTTTTTAAAGGCACAACTGGTTGGGGGCTACAGGGAGAGGTGGTATACTTTAAAATTAATAAATATAAGCATTTTGAGTTCTTTCTTTAATAAAACATAACGAATTTTCTATTCCAATGATTTCATTTCATTAGATAATTAATAATACTTATCAAATCAAGGAAATACAGCTGTTTATTCTCATGACGTCAAATTAATGTTCCATATACACATTCTGTCCATGATTAATGTATCATAAATCTTCAAATGATTTAAATTATATTTTTATAAAGTAAATTTAATCTCAGTGTCTTATCACAACTGGGAAGACCACTAACAGTCCACAGGACAAAGACAACATGGCTGTATGGACAGAATACACAATATATACTCAGGGAAGATTTAGAAGGTGTCTGAAATATATTCTTACATAAAATATCAGTCACACTCTGAGAATCTAATCTGACGTAATCTGAAGATGGAAGTGAAACAGCCAGTAAATGAATGATTCAACAAAAAGGTAGGCACTGAAGAATGTGTATGAAACGACATCAATGCTCTGCTTACTTCAAATTGAACAGTAACTCTAAAAATAATATTATGTAACAATTCGAAGTTTATTCTCAAATATTCACTCTTTCAAATAATAATGTCTTCCAGTAAAGAATTATTATCAGCAAAGACCATATCCAAAAATAAGACTGGGATAAATTAGAATAATAATAATAACACTTCATGTATGTGGTATTTTTCTTCGCTCTGTTGTCACAGTATCACTAAACAGATACTGCACCTACCAACTATCAGGACAAAATGGCCTATGACCACAGAACTGTTGAATCACAAAAAGCAAATATAAAAAATTAATGTAATGGGTGGCTCAGTCTGTAAATGACCAAGTCTTGATTTTGGCTCAGGTCATGATCTCAGGGTCCTGAGATCGAGCCCTGCATCGGGCTCCAGGCTCAGTGGGAGTCTGCTGGAGATCCTCTCTCCCTCTCTCAAATAAATAAATAAATCTTTAAAAAAGTTAATGTATCATGATACTGAATGTAGTTTAGATACTGACTTTGCTAGTAATGAAAAACTGTGCAATTTGGTATGGCTGCAAAACTGAATTAATCAGATGTTCTTCCATAAACACTTACGTATATAGAATATGACCTAATAAAGAGATGTGCACATCTTTAAGTTTCTAACACATGCTGAACCTTATAATAAGCCTTCAATATAATTATCTCACCTAATCAGCACTGAGAGGCATCATCGCCATTTTAAGGATGAGAAAAATGAGGCCAGAGTATTTACATAGTTAACCCAAATCTACACAATTAGCTAAATTCTATAACTATGCATCATAACCAGTTACTTAAGCCTTACAACTCATGGTCTTCTTAATATTATGCTGCAGCATCCCTACAATAATAAAGGATTAAAAAATCATTGCATAATCTGGCAGGAACTATTTAATAATTCTTCCATGAAGATAAAATAATTATCTAGAAAAAACCTTAATTTCTGCTTTAATTGTAGCTCATATTGTCCTTTTCTCTCCTCTTCAGAAATAAAAATAATTCATTTCAAGCCATTTAAAGCCATTTTCACATAAATACCCTATATTTTTCTAAAAATTACCCTTCAATCTCTTTTCTAGCTTTGAAATATGCATTGTCTTTGTTCATAGATGTGATTTTAACTGTGTAT